TATTGCTTGGTTGGAAAGAAAACCTGCAGCCACTCGGCCCTTTCTGGAACCAGTTTGACACCCCTGCTTTAAGTCATCAGTTTCATTTCCAATTAGTGTCATATAAGTTATTTTCTAGATATATTTAAGCACTTTTCTATTTTTTCGGTTACTCTCTGTTGCCCCCTTGTGTCACTCTCCTTCCTCTAGCTCCCTTCTAGATCCTTCTGTCCACACCTCGGTTGATCACTCCATTCATCGGCATATATACTCCTCTGCAGTTAGCTGGATCCTCTTCTTTCTGTAATTCCTTAGGTTTATTCCTCCCTAGTGTCTCGTGGTTTTTGGCCCCTGAGTTTCTCATCGAACGGTTCTGGATTATGGCTTCTTTATTCTTACTTCTTCATTCAAGTTTGTAAGAAATCATCTATGGCTCTTCAGCTCTACATCCGGGTCCTCAACAAGTATCAACTGACTAGTGATGGTGAGATGAAGCCTCATGAGGCATTGAACCGTTCGGGCTACTTGCTTCAATGATCTCCACAGTTCATACTGGTGGAATGCATGATTGCAATTAGCGAAATAATCTGTGATTTTTTTTTTGCAATTGTTTTTGTTTATTTTTCTCATATAAATTTCTTTGAAATTCATCATGATTGGTGTGTATAATAAAATCTTTTGCAAGTTTTTTTTGTGTGTAAAATATCTTAGAAGAGAACAATCTTTTAATTTTCACAATTTTTCTGCCATTTTAGTGAAATAAGCTCAAGTGTTTGTTCAAATTGGTCAATGTAGAGAAAAATGAAAGGTATTAGTCATTTTTATTCAAAAATAATACTTTTTCCCACAGTTTTTTGTTTTAATCTAGCCAACCAATCTTTTGGCTAAACAAACCAATCTAACTTTGTTTTTATCTAATCTATATTTATACAAACGTAAACCAATAAAAGTTAGTCATATCACCCACAAATTTTATCGCAACTCTCAAAAGTCTAAAGTGGGTCTCAAACCAACAACTTTAGGGTTGGAACTCAATGCCTTACTGCTGAAGCCACTAGCAATGGTAAATGCACACTGGAACAATACTCCTTAAAACTAATGTTACAACTGTGACCAGTGACTTGCTCAGATTTTGATCATTACACTGGCCATTTCTCAATTCACAGAAACGCGAGTGCGGAGTCGTGTTACTTGTGCGTTCTTATGTGCTCGTGTGCTCATGAAACTTCCTACTGCTGCTCCAATTCACAAGAACAGCAGACCGAGAACTGACAGAGTCCCCGGATGTTGTTCTCACCCCTCCCTCTTTACCCAGCATGCATCAGAACACACTTGTCCGTTCTTGAGATGGACAGCTGTCCCAGCATGCACTGCGGCAGCAGCAGCTTTCAATGGAGCGCTAACAGAGGTTAGAGTATTAAGTTAAAAGTTCTCTTTTCTGTTTCCGTTGTACTATAAAATTACTTTTTTTAGATCATTTGAGGCGAGAACATTATACTTTTAATCTTCACTATATGGCCCATTTAACAATTTAATGCATAATAAAAAAAAGAAATTCCAATGTTGAGAGGACCGTGGCAACCTGCGGGCCTCCGTCTCTCTGCATAGCCGTGTTTGAAGTACCGCTGGCTATGATGGCGATTTTTTTGTTTTATTTGGCAAAATGTTCATTTGATTAGTGTTTCTCGGAATGTGTTAATTATTATTAGCCCAATAAATTAAAAAAGTAATAATTTATTATTATTATCTAGAGACTATTAATAACAGGAGGTGAAATGCAGCTCCAGAAGAGCCGAGCTCGTGGTGACATCACGAGTACGCTTCTGTTCCAATTGACCCATATTTATGCTACGTACTGCTGTTCTCCCTGAATCCAGACTTTCCTGTGTTCCTCTCAAGAACATACTTGGACACTAGTTCATACTTCCGTTCCTGTGAAGTGAGAAATGACCAAAGTCAGCAGATTAGTAACAGAGATGGGGAGGGGGGGATGATTTTGGGCCCTTAGTCTTTGGGTGGAACATAAACTCCTCTCTAAACCATCAACTCCTCTGTAAACCAGAGTAGCATGGGGTCAACCCTAGGGCCAGACAGGGTCACCAACTGGACAGATCTACAGAAACCTAAAGGTTAGATGACATTGGTCTGGGTTGTATTGTTCCTGTTCAGTCTTGCTGTGGGGTTGAATCTAAAATAGCAATTCAGAGCTACTCTCTGTACCCAGCTCCAGTGATTCCAGCAGAAAACAACGATTGGCAGAAGCTCATCCTGTCAGTTAGAACTGTGTGTGTGAAGCGGCTCCAGCTCAGTTATGACCTGCAGATCTTTGCGTCTGAAGAAGGGCCAGCGAATATTTGGGCTGTTTGAAGTGATCCCAGATCTGCAGCAGGTCTGATCAGTCAGAGTCTCTCTTTCAGGGAGGTTTAAAGGTTGGAGGTTATTTGTGATTTTGCCACGAACAGAGTTAATCAAATCATTTGTCTGAAATAGATCGATATGCTCTGGATTTTCTTTTGCCACTTGAACGTTCAGCATAAAACAAAAACTAATTCATTTTATTGGGCTTTTTACGAGACAGACTAACACACTGTTCAGCAGAACTGTAAAGAGGAGGACTTGATGAATGGTTTCACACATTTTACACATGAAGCTCCTAAAATTCTTGTGTTTCCTTTTGTTTTTTATATAAATCCTGCCCAAGATTCTCAGTTGGATTTAGGCCTGGTCTTTGACTAGGCCATTCTAACAGATCAGAAGGACCTAATAAAGGCTGGATGTTCAGGGTTGTCATCCTCCACCCAGGCTCAGGTTTTCTGAAGCATCTAACAGGTTCTAGATTTATCTGCATTCTGCATCCATTATCTGACACGCTTGTCCCAACTGGGGTTGCGAGGGGTGCTGGTGCCCATCTTCAGCAGTCAATGGGCGAGAGGCGGGGTTCACCCTGGACAGGTCGCCAGTCCATCGCAGGGCAACACAGAGACACACAGGACAAACAACCATTCATGCACACACTCACACCTAAGGAGAATTTAGAGAATTCATTTAACCTAACAGTCATGTTTTTGGACTGTGGGAGGAAGCCGGAGTACCCGGAGAGAACCCACGCATGCTCAGGGAGAAAATGCAAACTCCATGCAGAAAAACCCTAGGCAAGGAATCAAACCCAGAACCTTCTTGCTGCAAGACAGCAGTGCTACCCACTGCTCCACTGAGCAGCCTGAGGGAAAAAAAAAACACCTTTCAATAAAAAAGTTTAGAAAGTTTTTTTAAAAATAACTCTACTTTCTATTCAGATGTTTCCCCCTTTATTAAATGTATTTTCCACATATTCCTTTTTTTTTTTTTTTACAGAAATTACATGTTTCTCAACTGGCGACCTGTCCAGGGTGTGCCCCGCCTCTCGCCCATTGACAGCTGGAAATAGGCACCAGCATCCCTCACGACCCCAGTGTGACACGCGCGTCAGATGATGGATGGATGGATGCATGGATGGATGCATGGATGGATGCATGGATGGATGGATGGATGGATGGACATGTTTCTCACACTTTATATTTTAATTTTTTCCCCCGTTATATTTAGTGTTACAAACTGCATTGTTTTTAAATTGCTTTTTACAGATCACCAATACACACATTGCTTTTGATGCACACATTGACGAATAAAATGTTTCTAAAATCCATGCAGACCAATAGAAATGCGTCCTCGCTCATAACTGCAGAGCAAAACCGGCCCCGAGTAGTGATATAAAAAAAAAAAAAGCAAAGTTACATCCATTCATCTTCTGACATGCTTTGTCCCAAGTGGGGTCACGAGAGATCCTGGTGCCTATATCCAGCTGTCTACGGGAGAGAGGCAGGATACACCCTGGACAGATTGCCATTCCATCACAGGGCAACACAGAGACAAACAACCACTCATGCACACACTCACACCTGAGGAGAATTAAACCAATTAACCTAACAGTCATGTTTTTGGACTGTGGGAGGAAGCCAGAGTACCCGGAGAGAACCCACGCATGCTCAGGGAGAACATGCAAACTCCATGCAGAAAGACCCCGGGCCGGGAATCGAACCCGCAACCTTCTTGCTGCAAGGGAGCAGTGCTACCCACTGCGCAGCAAAGTTACAATTATAACCTATTTTTGATTTTGAAATATGGAATAGAATTCACTTCATAAATGACCCTAGAAATAGTTGCTTTATGCCTGTTTTTTTATGAGACTAATTGCTTTTGTTGTTTTTATTGTTGTTGTTTCCATGCAAACTTTAACATCTAAATGCAGCACTTCTCCTGTTCATATCCTGAGCTATGCATTAACCAGAGACCAGAAAGTAGGGCTCCTGTTTCCTTAAGGCCATCACTGTTCTAGTATTTGAATCATTTTAGTTCTGTTTTATAACAAAACCAAGTTAAAGCATCATCAAGTGGTCATCAAGGATTTTACATTTATCTTTGCATAAAACCAAGCCAAGTTGCATTTGATAACAAACACTTCTCTGTTGCTGGATCATGCTGCAGAGTTCTGTCCCAGATCATGAAACTCTCCAGAGGAGTAAGACTTACAGACTCGGAAGCCTGGACCATGAGAGTCGAGTCTCCTTTCTGCCAGTCCTCCCTCTGTGCTGTAAAGCGTCGTCATGTTGCCTTTCTCGCAGCGGTTGATGCATCCGTCCTGGTTGCAGAGCACCTTGCAGATGGTTGGCGTGAACATCACCTGGATCCTCTCCATTCCACCTCTCCTCACTGCCGTCTGACCATGAGTTGGCAGAGTAGAGGCGAGGAATACGGAGAGGAGTAGAAAACCTCCAAGTTTCAGCTGCTGCATGTTCAGAGTTGCAGTCAGAGTTTGTACATTTGTTGCATGGCCAGAAACCCTCAAAGCTTCCAGCTCTTTGACTCTAAAGCTGCTTCCTTTTCTTACTGTTGGGTCGAGTGAAAACAAGCTTGGAGGAAAAAAAAAAAAAAAAGGGAGGAAAAAGAAAACGAGATCTCCCTCCCCTCCCCTTCCCTCCGTGGTCAGTTTTAAGTAAACCCTCCTGAGTGTGAGCAAGCAAAGGGAGAGTTAGGGAGATAATTGGAAGCAGTGTGCAGCGCTGGGCTCAACTCCAAACAAAATGTTTAGCAGGGATCTGCTCCATCGCTCCACACAGGGAGAGCCAGCGGTTACTCCTCTTCCTCGCTCCTGAGGCCCCGTATCTCTGCTCGCTGTTTCATAACGGGCTGCAGAACATTAGAGGATGTCAGGCTGATGATGCAACCCTGGTTTTGGGTTTCAGGGGGTCGGATTCACCGAATGTCTTTAAGTAAATCCAGGCTGCAGTGTAAGAGGACAGGCTGAGCAGAAACTGATGATTTCACACACACTTGTTGTTGACATGTAGCTGTCTGTTAAACTCGACTCAGTGCCATGTTTACATGACACATCTGGAACTTGGATTTTACTGGGTCTTTTTTCTCTCCATCTTCAAAGAGCGATGTTGGACTCAGCAGCTGCTCTTTAAATGTTGGTTAATTTGCTGTCCTGAAACTCAAATAAACAAGATATATACAACTATGAAGTGATGAAGTACTAACTGAAGGCCTGGCAGCGTGGTGGACCAATGGAAACATGTTTAGGTGAAATGGCCTTTCTAAAAGAAGAGCCGCGCTCATGTTATCGGTATGTTACTGGCATCAGTGAATGAATGCCTTGAAATAAACGCAACAGCCCAGAAATGCCTGTAAGCTCAACTTTTATCTGGATCTGCTGATAAAACCTTTATAGATGGCTTCATGAGACCGGCCTTAACTTGATCTTTGGGTCATTTTCAAAAATATTTTAGATTATGAAAACTCCCCAATTCCTCGGAAAGTATCCAAAAGGCATCCTCACAGACGCTCAGGCTACATTAAAGGTGGAAAAACCAGTGAATCTACAACAGTTTTCGTGTTCATAGGGGCGAGTCCGGCCTCCCTGCAGAGGACGTTTACTTCAGTTGCTTGGATCCACCACCCCTTCCTTCTGCTCAGTGACTCCAGCCCATGACCAAGGTGTGGTTAGCACATGCGAGGTTAGCACATACACCATCTGATGGGTTCAAAGCAGGGATGCAAAGAAATAATTGGCTTACAATCTATGGTCAATAATGGTCCCATTGCCTCAATTTTTTTTGCCTTATTGAATGTGTGCAGCGCCTGAACGGATTTGGTACCAGCACCACTCAGGGATTATCCATGTTGACTAATGGTGACGAGAAAGCAGAATGGACTTCATGTGGTTCTGTTTTTAAATATAAACACTCAATAAACTCCTTAAGTCATCACTTAAATAGCACCTGTTTAGATGTGCCCTTTTTCCCTGTTGGCCTGGAGGGCCTTTTCCTGGTTACCACTCACACCTGCGGCTCATTTGGTTATCACCAGAGGAGTATTTGAGCAGCGGACTGTCACCACCTCGACGCCAGAGTGTTTGCGAGTATTGGGTACTCTAGCCTCTCTGAGATTAGCTGAGTCTAACCTTTTTAGTTCTCGTCTCTCTGAGTCCTAAGTTCTAACCCTTTGTCTCCTTTGTGGTCTCCAGCAGGATTATTTCCTGATCAACTGGAAAAGCCTGGTCCTTCAAGCCTTGGAAGGAATCTATGCATCTCTCTGACACTAAGGAAAACATCCACCACTTCAGTTTGCTGTCCACTTCAGGAAAACTCGTTGACAGTCCGCTCCGCTGCCCCTCTGGACCTCTACAAGTCTGCCTGTCATCTGCATCTACATGTGGGCAAAATATTTGAAACCCATCATGACATATACCAACTCCACTATCTTATTACAAGTGCATAATGTCAAATAATCTTATTTTAAGGCAAAAAGTACTCCTTCCATTGGCAGATAATTTATTCACCTGCTTAATTTAGGGGCAAATATATGTATTTTATAGCTTTAATCGCATCTTTTTTTTTATCCGTTTTTGCAGTTGGAGAAACAGCCTCAGCACCAGATGCTAACTGCTCTCTCAGGGATGGGTTTCATGCAGACGACTAATTTCAATAACGTTCCGTTTCAAAATAAAATAAGGGTTATTAATATTATTATGTGCCTTAGCTTTTAGAGCGTTTCAGTGACACTTTTGCAGGACGTCCTTTTGATCAGGGGTTGCTGTAAAAATATTTTTTGTTTTATTTTTTTGAACAAAAGACCTATGAGCCTATAGGCCTATTTAGAATAAAATAAATAAATAGATTGAGATTCAGTACTTTATTTTCACATACAAATCAGGGCACGCAGCGATAGTCTTTAAGGGCCATGTCACTCCTTGCTGATTTAGCCAGCTTATGCCTGACGTCCTAGAATCTTCTAAAACACTTGCATACGCTGAACTTTCTATGTATTTTTTCAGTTTTGAGCGTATACGTAGAGTATTCATAACGCGTCCAGAATTATGTCCAACAACAGCCTAACTTATGTGTTCTGACCCTAACCCGTGGTTACGGTACAAGTGTTCTTCCTCACTGGTGGTGGTTTTCCAAAAAAATCTGAATTGCGCTTCTGTGCCATATTTCCTCCTTGTTTCTGTCATTAGACTATGTACATTTACTAGTCTGCTGCGGCGAGAGGGATAACTCTCTTCTCTGCGACCACTAGCTTGCTTAACATTGCCACAGCAACATATCTTCCGTGAACTTGTGTTGGGTAGGCCTCAAAATAATTAAATAAAAATCCAACTACATGTAAGAGTAAAGTTTAAAAAAAAAAGAGAAATGCTTTGCACAAATGTAGAAGTTGTACAAAGTATTTTTGAAGTCGTAAGGAAGCGGCTTTTCCAACGGTTGAAGTTCCGAAATTCTCCTGAGTGGTGCCCGACTTTACACAAGTGAATAAAGTGAATGTGATTGGTCATTTATCAAGAGGGCAGAATTGTTGTGGCGGAAGGTTGGCAGGCAAGTTTGATTGTGGCTGGTTTGTTGGAAGCATCTTGCTAACCAGTTAGCAACTTAGTGCTAGTAGGTTCCCAATGGGAAATTCCATTGGGACCAAGTAGCACTAAATTGGTGACTTAGAAAC